GGATCTCGTCGTTGATGCTGCGATGGGAGTCTGTTAGTTAGGTGTCCGAGGTATTACGCAGTCATTCTGTAGTCGCACGCACAATCTTCGTTTGCGGTTCCGCCGTCGGGTCTTTGGCGGAAATGATGCCATCGTCTGCAAAGAGCAGAGGGGCGAGCCACTTCACGTCGAGCTTAATGGCGCCACCAGCTTAGACCGTTAAAGACGGATTAAAACGAATAGCTACGAGAGGCAGTGGCTCATTGGTGCATTGTATTCCTTTTCTGACCATGATTCGAAACGACTCGTCGAACAGCTTGATTCCTCTTCCCGTGTCAGTATTCAGTTCTTTGATGAACGTCAACAGGGTTAACGCTGCAGTCCTGCAGCGCGTTCAGCATGGCTATATATAAACGAACGCTTTCCTAAAATACATGAATGCGCAGGACAGAGGAAAGAAGTATTTTTTCGTTCCCCTGTCAGTCGATTCACGACGTAGATGTGATCACTGATGAAGAACTAGGTTCCGAAACCGGCTTGTAGTTTTTGTACCTTGTAACCTACGCGTGACAGAAGAGTGATCGCTCAATCGTTCTAGAGGTCGTCAGCATCATCTATTTCAGTGATTGAATCGTCAAAGAGCCATTCCGTGCTTTTGGCTTCTTCTTCCGCTTCATGTACCCTGTAAATCGTTGGTTAAGGGCTTTAACAAAGGTTCCTTCTTACTTGAAATGAATCGGGTTATAATGTTCCTGCCAGACATCCGCTTGCCACTTTTAATAATCTTCTTTGCCCACTTTACTTTGCCCCAGTGGACTTCAGAGACGGTTTCCGGGAAAGCGTGCGGCAGTTTTCAGTTTTTCTCTACTTTCGAGGAGTAGAGGTTCAAGAATGACGAGTAGATCTCATGCGTGCGACTGCGATGTGTAGTTCTTACCAGTGCTTCGTCCTCTGTGCAACCGAAATCCGCTCTTTTTGGAGGATACACTTTTCCTCAGTATTGATGATATTCTCCTTGAACGTAGCCTCTCCTGATTTCGTTGTAGTGAACCCTGAAAGTTTTCTTTAATATTTCTTGACACATCCCAAGGTACTGGTAGTACAGTTGCCATCTACGTTCCTTCTGGCTCTTCTGGCCAACATCTACATCGTTGAAGGACTGGTGCGTGGTGTCCTCGTCAAAGTTTCTGCACGCTGGATGGCCGCATTGAATCTGCATAGCTGGACAGTGATCAGGTGCATCAAACGCACGATTCAGCCCACGATGTCATGGGTAGGTTTTTGTGAGTTGTACGACGCCATTTCCGAACTTGGGAATTTTTTTATTTCAGTCTGTCATGCTGACCGTGCCACACGACTATGTCAGTTAGACTAAATCAAAGTATCTATACGGATGACCACCTGTAATATCATTAACTGTGACTGCTGATTGAATGACTAGTCGCTGACTTAAAAAAACCTCGCGCAAATCTTATATATTCGAGCATCGAAAAGTGCAACAGTACACGTGGTACCGGGAAGCTTGTGCACAGAAGTCGATGATCGATGTGATAATCGTATCGCTAAGTAATGCAAGTTCGTGTTAAGAAAGCTGCAAAGCTATCAACCGATCATCACCTTGTTGTTGGCACGCGGCGCTGTAAGAAATGGAGCACCATACGAAGATCCGGTGGCAGAAGCAACCGGAGAATCAAATGGGAAACA